TTGAGAGCCTGGGAGGGAGGGGGAGGAGCAGCGCCCGCACCGCGGCCACTCGGAGTCTCCCCCTCCCTCCCAGGCAGCAGCAGCGGAGGTGAGCTAGGGCGGCCGCGGCACATTTTTAGGGGCGGCATTCTGGCGACGGCCATGCTGCCCCTAAAAATGTGCCGCCCCAAGCACCAGCTTGTTTTGCTGGTGCCTAGAGCCGGCCCTGTCCCTTTTAAGAGGAAGTTCTTTTAATCAGTGTTCCCGCTGTACTTATAATATATGTTAAATAGACAGGTCCCATTTAGTGAGCATGGGTGAGGCCAAAATAAAAGCTTGTGTACATCCCAGGCACAGACATGCGCACAGTGAGCGAGACAGGCCCAGTGCTCTCTTCATTTGCAACCGTAGTGGTCTAGTGTTGAGATTTCACCTTATTTTGGATTTAAACATTAACAAATTCTCATCAGTCCCTTAGAATACAACAATGAAAACACAAAAATCTGATTTTGGTTCCCTCCATATTTTCAAGACTGCTACCTTTCCCCATTCACAGAGGTCAAACAGAGTTTTTTTCAGTCTAAAATATATCTACACTACAAAAAAAAAAAAAGTGTGTGCTTAACTCAGGTTAACTAACCTGCATTAGCTAACTCAGGTTAAAATAGCAGTGAAGACATGGCAATTCAGGCCCATAGCAGCTCAAGTTAGGGTCCATATGGGAGCATGGCGATGAACTCAAGCTGCAAACCTGAGTTAAAAACTGAGTTGCCATGTCTTCACTGCTATTTTAACCCAAGCCAGCTAATGCGGTTAGCTAATCTGAGTTAAGCCCACACCTTTGTAGTTAGACATACCCTAAATAACTAATTTCAGATTAAAGAGAAACAACAAAGAAAGAACAAGCCTAAAGTCCCCCTGAGAGAGGACACATTGACTTACTCTGTAACATTCAGCATCTGAAATGAAACAAAAATGACAGCTGCTGTATAAACTAGCAGGGCAGCTCCTTTGACTTTGAAGATGCAACATACAGAAAGACACCTCTTTTAAATTACATAGGGTAGCCACATGTGCTAGAAAGGTCAAGCTGAGTTCCTTACTCCTTGAGCCATCACAACAGTACTGCTGTCTGTGGTGACCCCCTCCATTGGTGCATGCCAGACCTTCCTGAATTGGAAGAATGAATCAGCAGGATTCCGTGGAAGGAAACCTCCCACTTCCCCTCAGAAAACCTACCTTCAACAGAAAAGTTCACAAATACAATTTGAAAAGGTTTATTTTTTTTTGTTGGGAGGGGGGTGAGGAAGGAGAGTTTAATGGGACTACTAAACAAATAAATAAATAAAATTGAAAACAAAAATGAAATACTTCTGGCAGAGTCAAATGTGAACATTTATTCACTTCTGTCACTGCATGAATGAAAGCTGGGACAATGGCATTTGCTCAGCAGCTGGTGTTCTTGTCAATCAATTTATAACCAAGGAGAGGTGAACTGGGTTTGATTAAACAAGTTTCAGCTTAGAATTTTGAGAAGTAAGTTTTGGGCTCTTGAACATACTTTTCCAAAAATGTAAGTACCTCTCCCTCCCTCCCAAGTGCCCTTTTGTACCCCTATTCTTTGCTCTTCCTCACCTTGTGAGAACAGCTAAGTTTCTAACTCATTCCTACAGCTGGATTTCTAACTCTGTCTGTTCTTTCCCAATACTTTGCTACTCCCCAGACCTGATTCAAGTTCTCTTCCGCTACAGAGCCCATATCTTTAATGATATTGCAAGGGTCTCAGCAGGTCTGATATCCTCTGGTTGGTCTGGGCAACTTTCTGGATTTGTCTCATCACCTATGTCTCCCTAACTCAGCATCATACCCAACATTCTGATGGACTTCTGACTTCAGCACTACCTCTAGTGTACAAGATTTGGCAGCAGTTGGTCTGGGCCAACAGTGGAGGAAGCATAAAATAGATAATGATGATTCCAAAACTAAAATCTTTACCAGACTGTAGCAGCATTGCCAGCTTCCATAAGTGTCAGCACATCAGAGCTCTGAGTTTTCCCCTCTTTCTAGTTCCCTTCTTCTCTTCCTGCACTTGCTCCAGTCCCACCTATTTTCAGCCCTCCCATTCCCCAGATCCTCGGAGTTCTGGAAAGCAGTTAAGCAAACAGGGTTTAATGTTTAGTTTTGATAAGTGCTTTTTAATGAAAAACATAATCACCAGAGGATTAAAACTTTAATCACTAAGCAACTGTTGGAGATCCAGTCTATTCTGATGAAGGCTGTTAGTAAGTGTTGTTTCAAAGGTAAAATTCAAATGACCTGTGCTATACATGAGATTTATGCCAAGCCCTACTTGTGTCTGAATGTCAGAGTTGTGTTGTATTCTGTTTGAATACAAAGACCAAAGAATTGTGAGTGAAATTTTTATCTTTAATCATCTTTGCACACTGGGTAACTGGGGTACAATAACTGGGCATTTCCCAGGAATCTCTCTAAAGGAGAGAAGACAGAAAAATCCCTCTCATAGTTTGGATAAATGGAGAGAGGTCAGGTGAAAAAGAACTGGGACTTTTTTTTAGCTATGTCCTTCATTATTCACAACAACGCTAGATTAATAACTTTAATAAAAATGAGGTTATAGCTGTTTTTTTGACAGATGCTCACTATAGGCCTGATGCAAAATCCAAGTCAAGGGGAAGACTCCATTGGGTTTTGCATTGGGCTCTGACTGTTGGCAAAATTAATGTCACTGTAATCCACTGCTCAGTGCATGTTATGTTTCCCCCTCTGTGCCCAAACCACAGAGGATGAGAGGTGGTTAAAGCTTTCAGGTGGTGAGCCTGGATCCTTAGGTGCTTTTAACTGTGGAAGTCCCCAGTTCAATCCCTGGGGTTGGCCATGATGGCAGCTATCACACCACTACTGACGTACGTATTTATCTGACCAACTGTAAGCAGTATGGACAGTGGTCATTTAGTCAAAACATTTCATGCTCAAACACTGGGTGGGAACAACAGTATTATGGCACATTCCCCGTTGAGTGAAAGAGGAAAGCAGGTCATTGAATGTGGCACAATGATCCTTGGGTCATAAACTTTTAATAACCATTTTGGTTTTTAAATTTCCTTTACAAATCCATTCCCAGTAGGAATTTAGTTGGGGAAGGGGTTGCACTTACTGTTGAGAAGACGGAAGTCTATGAACGGGTAGGAACCACGGCGTTCAGAGAGAACCCCTGTCTGACCTCTCACCCGTGCATCTCCTGCAAAACACAACCCCCCACAGATGTTAGAAGGGGTGTTCACCCTTTCTTCTTGTGTAATATTAACTAACCAAATTGATAGCATCACAATCCTCTGCCCGGAAAGCCACGCTTCAAATACCATTTCACATGGCTTCCCCGTAGAACTAGGTACTGCAGTACAGCTCAGTCCTCTGATATGATCGGAATATAGCAGAAAAGATGTAGCCATCCTATTGAACAGCTGCTCATCCAGTGAATAGACTCATATCACTTCAGGAGCATTGCAGAAATCTAGTTTCTGATCCCAGCTATACCAATAGGCTTAAAATTGTTATTTCACTGCTGACAGGGTGCTCAGTGTTATACATGACGCACAGCTGAGAGTGTCCTGCCTTAAAGACGTTACAATCTGAACCACACAGACACAGGGAGACAGATGCTGCCACCTTTACCAGTATTACCAACCCCCTATGTTCAAAAATCATTAATCAGCCCCAAAATATAATGAAACTGGTTTAAAAATCATGATATTAAAAAAATGATTCTTTTCCTTTCCCTTTGTGTTTTTGAGCCTTTAGAGTGCACTCAGGTGATGTTTTCAAGCTTTTCTCTGCAACAATGAAAGTTAGAAATGTTCATTAAAAAAAGTATGCTGTGATTCTCAAAAAAATAGCATGACTCCAGGAACTGAGGCTTTAAGAAAAAAACTAAATACCACCAGCTTTGGAATAAGATAGTGAGACTAGGCAAGACTGCTTTACTCACATTGACAAGTACCTTATTATTGCCTCAAGCTGCACCACTGAAATTAATTAGACTACTTGAAAAGTAAAGTACCGTTAAGGTTGCGTAGGAGTGGCCACATCTGTCCCGGAATAGGCAGTTGTGTTGAGGACATAGCTAAATTCAGAGCGGTCTCCCTCTGAGTTTTTATTTTTCTGTGAAGACTACTGAGGGCTATCAGGTAACTCTAAAAAGAATTGGTCTACCTGCTCCTAATGTAACTGTACCAACACATAACATTTTAAAAAATCTCTAATTGTGAAAACACTAATGATCTTTTCGATACCTGTTAATTAAGTAGAAGTGGATTCAGTGGAAGTGCTGAGGAATGGCGAGAAGTCTATCAATAAGCCAGGTGTAGGCAGCAGACATACATCCCAGCCAAAATGTTTAATTCCCTGGCGGTAAGCATTGTTTATTGCAAACTGCCAGGTTGTGGTGGTGGTGGTTTGTTTTTAAATCTTTGTCAGGCCTATCACCAATTCACTGCACCTCTACATCTAACAGCACCTGCTGAGTTAGTGATCAAATTGTGTGTAGTGATGTGTCTACCTGCTGGAGATTTTGAGCATACAGCAGTTGGAGGGGAATGGATTGGTCTGTGTGTACAAATTTCATATTGCTGCCTAGGCCCCTACAGTTCTCTAATCAGGAGTGCTAGCAGACTTGATTCCACGCGGAGGAAGAGCAGTGATGCTGCAAAATGCATTTGCTAGCTCTCTTGTGTAAGCTTCCAGCTATTTGCCTTCAGGCTTAAAATAAAGCTAAGCAGTTGTTCTTCAATTAATACAATTAGTTGTGTTTCATTTCAAATCACCTTTTTGTAGCGAAAGGAAGGATTCTGTGAAAACAGGACAGGAAATTTTGACAGCTGAGAGTCAGATCACTGTTCCATCTTCATTGTGTTTCAAAGTGAAACAAACAAGATGAGGGGAAATAAAAAGGGTTGTTTCTCTTTTATTTTTTCAGGCTGAAGACATAAGATAGCACACTGGAATGTTCAATGTTACAAACACAGAAAAAGCTGCATCTTTGTCAGACCCAAAGTCTGGAGGCAGCTTTGGGCTCTCCAGGGGAGACATTTCCTGAATGAATCTTCTGCCCGCTTGGCATCTTACATTGTCTCTTTTTAATAATAATAATAAATTAATTAATTAATAATAAAAACCCAGCCTGTGCTAGGTAACAGGAGTGTGTGGCTTATTACAATACTGCCAATAAGGGTGGAGATGCTGGCAGTGCCGACAACTTACAGCTGCTGCTGAAACATCAGCTGCATGACAAGAACCAGAATCTGGCTGCAATCATGGTGTCAAGGTCCTTTCAAAGTGGGGAGAAGGGACAAGAGAAGAATTAAGCAGCCGTTACTGAGCTGCTGCTGCTGCGAATGCAGTAAATAAGCAGGAGAAACATTCCTTTTCCAAAAGCCGCTGTTTGAAATGCTGCGGGACTGAATTTCCCCACGTAGGCAACTCATGTTAGCAAGGCCAGAGAACAGATTGTAGCTATCACACAATGAGGAGGCTGCTCCGTGCAACAGCAGCTGGGATGTGCCACTGCATTATTTAGTCTATTTGATACACGGCTCCATGTGATACTTCATGGACGACAACAATTCACAGAATGCTAAAAGTGGGCACCCGATGCAGCATTTCTACAATGGTCATCTAAGGACCTCCACTTTAAAATACTACTTTACTAAAACTTCATGTTTTGTACTGCAGCCCATTACTGTAGCATGGCAGCTTCCATGAAAAACAGATCAACAATAATTAAGCCCCTAGTGGACTCTGAGGAAGCTCTGGCTCTTCTACCTTTTGACTTATACAAAGGTTTTTGGTTCTTGGGGAAGGGAAAGAAGGTTTGTTGATGTTGTGAGTGTTATCGTAATGTAATGATGTTTTCTGCACTGTACAGTGTGTGCCACTACTGCTACTTAGCTGTCAAGTAGACTTTTCAGCCACAGATCTCAAAGTGCTGTACAAAGGAAGGTAAGTATCGTGTAACCCTACACGGAGTTTGCCAGCTCCTGGAACTCTGGACTAGAGCCCTGCAACCCAACCTGAACGCAAGGGGACCCAACTACAAGTGTCAGGTTTGGGTCGGGACAGAAAACAACTGGACCATCTCAGGCCTGGGTGGGGTGGGCTCTCATGACATTCTCTTGCCCAGGAGATTGGCCCAGCGGCAGCTGCATGCGCCTCTTCTGCCAGCCACTGCATTGAGTGAGTGCGCCAAGGAGCCACAGTGCCACTCTCTCTGCAGCACATGCACAGTGGCAGAGGCGCTGACTCAGGTTCTGCAGGAAGGACTGGAAGAGGTCAGGTTGAAAAACGACTTGATCCTGTGGGGTTCAGGTCTGGGGCAGGCTTAAAACTTAGGGCCGAGTAGACCGCTACGCTGGACAGCCTCTCTGGGGTCCTACTGCATGTACTGAAACATGTATGTGTATAAAGAGTTCAGTGCATAAAAATGGGTCAAGCTGGATGGCTGCCTCGGTCTCACCTATACATCTCTGCCACCTCTCCCGCAAGCAGACAGCACCCTTGTTTTGGTTCTGAACAGCTGTTCTTATTCACTGAAGTCCTTATGCACAGGAGGACTTCCACACATCAGACAACAATAATGGCTACGTGAGCCCTCTGACACCATTTCCCAGCATGCTTGGAATCAGGGCTGCGGACAAAAGGGACAAGAAACTCCTGGTGAGCCCAACAGGCTTCTGGATGGGGTGATCCAGACAAGCAGCTTGCTGGGCCAAGAACGAGTCAGGTTGCTCAGTCTCGCAGTGGAAGGGGACAGCCTGACTCAGAGCCAGAGACTCATTTCAGTGTCAGATCCAAGTTGTGACTTTGGGGAGCAGAGAAGAGAAAAGCCGAACAGCTCAATCAGGGAATCTGTGCATAATAAACCACCCCACAAAGGGAGTCTTTGAACTGCTGTGGGATGTGTTGCCTGGGTCAGGCAGTTCCAGCCCTGCAGAGACCAGCGTCCAGAGTGGCAGAGATCTGACCTGGTGCTGGTTACCGGGAGCCAGCCAGGGCCTCCACAGAACTCCAGACCAAGAAGCCAGAGAGGACCTTGCCCTACCCAGGAGCAAAGACACTGTAAAGGGACCCTTTTTGTTTAAGGCAGCCAATGTTCACAGCACTACAACATTTGTCTCCAGGCTCATCTCTAGTGGATCAGCTGCCTGGGAGGGAGCTGGAGGCTGGGCAGGGTTGTGAGTGGTGGGAAATTGATCGAATTATTATTGAGTACATATTAGTTAACACTAACTCTTTCCTTCCCCAGATCCTATTTTACTGCTGCCCACAAAGTTCACCTTTGTTATACTGTTATTTTTGGGTGTGTTACCTCTTTGCTGGGGTTTGTATCACAGGCGCTGACTTTTATTTTTCCCCGTGGGTGCTCCACCCCCACTCCACCCCTTCCTCTAAGGCCCCACCCCTGCTCTGCCCACTCCCCCGAGGCCCTGCCTCCCGCTGCACTCTGTTCTCCGCCCTCCCCCGAGCGCCTCCTGCCAGCTGCCAAACAGCTGTGGCTGCTGGGTGCTGAGCACCCCCTATTTTTTTTCTGTGGGTGCTTGAGCCCCAGAGCACCCACAGAGTTGGCACCTATGGTGTGTATTGATGTATTTATTGTTTCTTGCATACTGGGTTTTATACTCCTTGCTTGCAGTGGTAGCATTATTCATTTTCCCAAAGGACAACATTCCTTGTATCTCACCCCAGGGAGGCATCACCTTGGCATCACAAGAAGGAACCCAGGATCCAACCTCTGCGAGAAGAGGGGAGAAGCCACTCCAAGTACCAGAGAGGATGCTTGAACCACACCTCAGGGGAAGGGCTACAATTGCTACCCCCACGTTATAGCAGGGGAGTGGAGGCAACAGAAATAGTCACTTGCAGAATACTGCACAGCAAATCAGTGTCAGAGTGTAGCGGGGTGGTTACCCGCTCCTGCCCTGAAGGGCTTGAAATCAGCCCTGAAAGAGGGCTGCAGGGGTAAAAGCAGCCCTGGAGAGGGCTGCAGCTCTAAAAGATGGGCTGATTGGGGAAGCGGCTGCAGCTGGGCCACACCCCAATCAGGCCACAGCTGGCCTGTATGAAAAGGCTGGAAGCCAGGAGCTCAGCAGTTTCTCTCTGTGTTCAGAGAGAGAAGGGCCTGGTTGCAGGGAGCTTAACCAGGTATCTGGAGTGGAGCAGGGCTGGGGAAAGGCCAAGGGAGCTGGG